GATTGTCTTAAAATGAACAGAAACCTTCTGCATTATATATGAATTACTCAGATAACGATTCTCTTTGATGTCTTTTTAATTATACCATTTAGAGAATTTTTAGAATCTTTCTTAATCTATTTATAACCTATTACGTTCCATAGAAAGTTGTTTGAAGATTTTTTCTAACAATTGAGTAAGTAGCTAATCAGATTTTACAAGCTATATAACTAAAAAAATCAAGCATTTTTTTAAATTTAATTTTATTTATTTTCTGCACAATTTATGAGTTTATTAAAAAATAATTGAAATAAAATAAATATTTCTAAAATTTTAACATGAAAAAGCTATGTAACACAAACAAACTGCTTTTTTTCTTAAAATTTTTTTAAAGAAATTTTACATTTTATGTTTCATGGTTTTTTAGCAATTTTACCTGAACAGGAATTTTCCTAAACTCTTTTAAGAGAACTCACATTTTTCTTTAAAAAAAATTCTTTTAAGGGTTTCAAGAAATGTTTCAAAGAGTTATGAGAAAATAATTTATATTTTTTAACATTTTAATGAAAGTTTATCATAAAAGAAAAGGACTGTACCATATGCTAACGATTTTAAACTTTTTACCAGTCTAAAAAACCCAGAAAATAAATCTAAATATACACTTTATAACAAAAAAATCGACGCACCAAGAAGCAATCATCCGATTGCTTTGAAATTTCGTATGCATGAATGTTTTGAACAGATCAGGTTGGTATGATGCCGACTGGCGACGTACAGTCTTTAGCGACGAATCCCGCTTCCAACTGTGTCCTGACGATCATCGTAGACGTGTTTGGAGACTCACAGGGTAGAGGGGGGATCCTGCCTTCACTATTGCATGCCACACCGGCCCTCAACAAGGCATTATGGTCTGGGGTGCCANTATACAACATTTAACTGGTAGATAGATATATGATAATGAAATTTTGTAAATATATAACATGCTGTAAGGTAATAACCATTAAACAAGTAATGTGTTTATAGATATAAACTGTTGCCAACTTGTCGTAAAATATTTTGCTTCATTATGTGAAACAAGACTTTTGCGTGTAGCATAACGACACCTGTTGCCTAGGTGAAATCTTAAAAAGTAATAAATTAACTATGAATTATTTAGTGCCAATGATATATAAAATGGTTGAACATAAAACAGTATTTAAATTAACAATTGAGCAAAATATAATTTTTTTTTCATTTCAAAATTCTGAAAAGGATTACATTAAAAAAATATAAGGTATAAAAAATAATGATATCTAAAAACTTTTTATGGTTCGTATATGGTTATGTATAAGGTAAGTTATCTGTTGAAATGGTCTTTTTCTCCCAAACCCTTTAAAAAAATTGCAAATCAGGGATTGCAAATTTGTATTTAAGCATAGAAAAAATCAAAAGTTAAGTCTGTCGAATCAATACTGAGGAAGGCGAGACTGAAAGTATCAAAATCAGTTTGACTGAAATGAAATCAACTGATGAAACTTAGTGGTGTTTCTAACAATCACCTTTTAAATTTCTCGTAAGTTTCTCTAGCAATCATTTTTGTGTTTTCAGTCCAGCTTTCCCCAGTAGTAATTAGCATTTATTCTCGTCGCTTACATTTTATTTTCAATGGTACATTTGAAACTAGAATTTAATACTTCTATATACGTTTAGTGCCACTAAAGTGCAGGTGATATAACTGTAGTTAAGAATATAAAATGATGAAATATTTATTAAAAGTAAATTTTTATCATCACCAGCACCGAAATTTTTTTATAAGTTAACATTAAGCAATTTTATTTCTTTAATTCTTAATCTTGACTTACAAATAAGATGTGACAAACGAAATCTTGTCAGACATCACTGTTAAGTGTCGGCTAAGTCAACTTTAAACACTTAAAAACGTAGAAGCAAAATTAATTCATCATTTAAGTTGTATCTTGAACATGGTGTTTTTAAAAAGGTATTAAAGATTGATACCTGCCCGTTTTGTGAGCATATATTATATTACAAAAAAATGGTGTGATGTAATTTACTATGGACCTGTGCAAATTAATTTAAATTTACTATTGGCTTTTAAATTCCAGTACAAATAATTAATGATTAATTTCCTAACTAATGCAGTGCAAAAATGTTTAGATATAATAATAAAAAATTATTATAATATTAATCTTTATAATTGGAAAAACTAAGTAAATATTGCATCATCATTGTCACTTGCTTGTGGGTATCATTTCTATCATTATTTAAACTACGCAATCCAATTTAGAACATAATTTAATAAATGATCTAATTTAACGGGATCATAAGATTTAGTAAGATATCCCTTATCGAAGTAAAAATTCCATATAGTGCAAATTAAACAAATCCATCTTAATATTTGCATAAATAAAAATTAAAAAAAAAAAAACTGTATTGTTTCCTTCCGACAGCTGTTTCAATGGTATCGACAAAATCCATAATTCTCGTCTAAACAAAGAATAATTCATTATTTGGAGAATAATAATTATTCTTTTTATTTTATTTTTAGCAAAAAAAAAAAAATAGTTTTAGTCACCGAAAACTAGCTACATGAAAGACTAACTCAGAATTCTAAATTGAAATAAAAATCAAATCAATGTTCTAAAAATTACATTATTGATTATCGTTTCAAATTTTTATTCAATTACTTTAATTCAGTTTTAAAATGTTTTGTAAATAATTAATGCTTAATGAAAATTTGATTTACAATGAGAATACTAGTAATTTGAATTTAAAAATGTCATATTTGTTTAAATATTCATTCAAAGTGATAAAAATTATTTATACGAATTTAATAAGTAAATTAAGATATCTATAAAAGATATATACATATATTTTAAGCAATTGCAGAAGTAATAAAGGTAACGATAAAAGAAATTGTTATAACAATCATCATAGTTGGCAAACCTAAGTAAATATTGCATCATAATAATTGTCAACCTCATTTAATTCTTATTTATCACTTCCATTATTTAAATTTTATTATGATCTAATTCAGATCATGAATATATAAACAATGCGTAATCCTGAGATTTAATAAGGAGATGTAAATATAACTCTCACTCTTTTTTTGCACTAATATCAAAACAAAATACATTCTTTCGGTGGAATGTAATAATATTCCAGATCATTGATTGTGATTATTTTAAAAATGTATTTAAAAAAATTCCTGTAATTATCAACACGATTATGGTAAACAATAATGCATTTAAAAATAACAGAGACTGTAAGTTTTAAGCATCAACAGATAAAGATAATGCAAAAATTACATATCAAAAGGTTGAGTTCATAAAGCTGTTTCAATGCTATAGACCAACATCATAATTCGTGTCTAAATATGGAATGATTCACTATTTGGANAGTACTCAACATTTTATAAGCAAAAACAGTATCTAAGTACTCAAATTTAATACTTTTGGGCAACCGCTTACAGTCTACTCTATGCTGTGTTTCCAAAATAAATAAACAAATGAATAAATAAAAAAAAGAAAGAGAGAAAGAAATTAAGGAAGATAGTCAAAGTCTACGAAAATGTCGAAAAATTACATAACTTCCGAAAATTTTATTCAGAAAAATTTTAATTTATTGAATTAAAACTTAAGAACATATAAATATATATAGTATATGTATTCTAGAAATTTTTAGCGAGCTCAATATGAAATTGTTTGATTGAGATAAATTATACTCATTCCCTAAATTACCATTAGTATTGGTCGTAAAATAAAAATTATTTATTAAAGATTTTAAAAGAGTAAAAATTCGCATCAAAAGGTTATTTATATAAAGTACATGATAAATAAAGCTTTTTAATCAATAAATACATTATTAAATCATTATTTTCGTAGCACAATTTTATTTGAAAAGAGATGAAATTCTATAAAGCTTTTTGCTATAGTTTCTGACATAGTAAAATTTGTATCAGACCAACTAAATCAAATCAGATGTATTTTTTTAAAGGTAAAGCATCTTCTTCATATTTTAATTAAGAAATTAAGTTTCATATCTAATTTAATTTACATGTTCTGGAGCATTTCCTAATTTGACCCTGGTACATTTTATTTTTTATAAAATTATCGATTTTTAGTGAAAAATTAATAATATTTTTATAAAATTATCGATTTTTTAGTTAAAAATTAATAATATTTCTTTTTAAATTATCGATTTTTTAGTTAAAAATTAAAAATATTTTATAAAATTAAACAGAGGTATTATACAAGCTTGTTTATTAATTCATAATTAAATCATTTTTGTGGCAGCTTAACTTTGAAGGGATTATGCAAATCTTTGTGCTGTAGGGCACACAAAATGAAACTTGCATCTAACCAATTAAATCAAATCTGGTATGTTTTTCCGACAGCGAATTTCCATATTAAAATGCGAATCCCTTCACATTTTAATATGGTAATTAGATTTTTTTAATTTAATTTTCTGGTACTGAAGTATTTTAATAGCATATTTCTTTTTTAATCCCATCATATCAAATATTAATTTGTATGAGAGCTGATATTTTGTAAGAAGAAAAAATTATAAACAATCAGTCAAGCAAAAATTTAAAAAAAATGAAATTTTGCTTTTACTATACAAACAATAATTAATGAAAGATGTTAAGAAAAAGAGCAAAAAAGCATGCATTATAAATTAACCAAAGGTCATGGGTTGAAAATTTGGTGAATTTTTATATTATTTAATAAATCTTTATTATCCATAATGCAGAGAAAGAGAACAAAATATCAGCTGTATAAATATAACTTGAAAAAAAATCAACATTTGACAAGAAAAAACTTAACTTTAAATAGAAGATTCCAAACGATTTTTCGCATTTCTAAAAAAANTCTTTCAAAAAAAAAAAAAAAAAAGAGTGGCAACAGCATCAATACCGAACGGATCTGTTCACAAAATAGTTTTAGTTTTATCGTCCTACATCAGAGTAAGCTAAATTTAGAGTGCGGAAGATTCATGTGTGCGAGTTAGAAAATTTTACTTACTAATTTGATTCTCTTTTACAATGTAAGAAAATGTTCCGCAGTTTTTACTTTCAGCAGACAATTTTATACTTCACACAGAAATAAAGTTCATGGCAGACAACAATGAAGAAAGATATAAAATCGATGAAATTTTTGATGAAAATTGTGAATGATACTTAGGAGGAATGAATGATCTCTTTAACTCCTTAGGAATGATAGGCAATGAGAGAAATGTTGGATGTACGGTTGCTCTTGGTATTCCGTGTGAGGTTAGGATTGGAAAAGAAGGAGCTACTGGAAGATAAAGTGACGTCATTCAGGTAGAAGCATGCAATGCGCGAAGAAAATTGCGTGCAGTGACGTCAATCGATATTTGTGGCGCTGCCGTAGCACAGATTTGGAAAATTTTGAAGATGAAATTCCGGAGTACCATTCATCAATATTTTCCCGGAAGCCACCTGGTGGACTCTAAAATACTTTTAATTCTTAAAAGTTTGCCATTTGTTAAAATTTAAAGAACAGTTCTAGTGAACAGTCAGTTAGATTGCAGGGATGGGCATATACTTTTTTTAGTTTGTTTCAAACTAATGATAATAAGAAATTATTTATTAATATGGTTCATGAATGTTATTCTGATTATATTAGACTCGTAAATGAATAAAGAGGTAGAGGAGAAAATAAGCCATTATGTTCTTTAAGCAATTACGAGTTCACGGAACACGTTCAGGACGGACAACCCAACAAAATTTTCTTTTTTCTACATAAACTAGTGTGTAATTATACTTCATCAACTTCTTTCCCCTTTATTAGAAGTTTGTACCATTGCTGCAACAAGAAAAATCCTTTTATTTCCTCAATCTCATTTCAAAAATATGTATAAAAACTAAACTTTTTCGCAGTAGCAGACATAATCTTCATAAGTTAATGATAAATAAACCCGGTTAGCGCTAAGATGTTATTTATGTTGAAAAAGTAACCAGTTTTATACTGTTCAAGGATTTATGATGCTTTTCTGTCTTTCTGGAAAAATATAAGGTTACCAAGTCGAATTTTATCCTTAAGCGAGTTTCCTTTTTTAATTAGGAGGCGGCATCCCTTGCTTGCTTTTGTTCTCAAACCATGCAGTTCTTTTCAAATCCCTTTGCGATCTGAGTTAGCTTAATTCTTAGTCTAACCTCAACTATTACACTTATTTTTTTTAAAATATGTTATGCAACTTTCCGCTTGCCAACCCCAAATTTCTTGAGCAGTTCTTTCCCGATCTTTCTTCTCATTTCTCTCTCAGACTTGATAGTGGGATTAATTACTGATTAAGTGGCAACGAATCAAGCTATAGTTAATAGGAATATCTTTGTTTGCGTATGAATTTAAAATTTCTTTAAAGATATACAGGGGTAATTGTGAGCGCAAGTCAAAATTCTGGAGAATTTCTTGAGTTAAAAAAAAAAACAGTTTAAATTGACAAATTAGAAAAAAATTTAAACAAGGTTTTTTTCCTTTTTCTTAGTTTACTTAAAATATATTTAAAATTTTAGACATACCTATGATGACCTGGAGAAGTAATTAAAATTTACAAATATGTCTTTCTTTTTTGAGTTTATGATTATAACAACTATTTACTGATAAAAAATGAATATTAATCATGAATATAAGCTTATAAAGTATCTCTCAGACAAATCCCTTACAAACAAATAAAATAAACTGATCTTTTAAGTTCTACCTTTGAAAATTTGATTTCCGGAAACTTCTGTGATCAGTGATTTTTTGAAACATCTGGACCTTCGATCGCCGGAAACTTCCGGATCACTGTTAGCGAAAAATCCGGATTTTTTCCGGAGCACAATCAGCCCTGGAATTAGCAACCAATATTTGAGTGCGTGATTAGAAATTTAAATTGTAAGTTTTTTTAAAAAGCTGTCGTAAAAACGGCCAATTTGTTTGTTTGAACCAATATTATTTATTTTAAGAAAATACCAATTTGGGTTACAATAAGAAGAAAACAAAATCTGGTATCAATAAACATAAAATCTGGTATCAATCTGGTATCTTCAACACACACACACACAAAAGTAATAGCAATAAAGAAAGAGTAAAAGATAGAAAAATAAGTGTTGTGAATAAATATTTATTCATAAATTTACAATCAGAATTCAACATAGTGATATAATAATAAGCACACTTAAGCCCACACAAATACCCATTCTTAAGCATGAAAATATTTTTATAACAGTTTGATGATTGTTAAATTAATAATTGCATCAGCAATTTAATTAAAAAGTGTTTAACTTACAAAACAAAATATTCATAAGACAGGACATATTTATATATACAGAATCACATTACTTTATGCATAAGTATAAAAATGTACAGTACATGCTTTAACAACGAAAAAAAAAAATTATCCATATAGCTGAAGATACAATGAAAAAAAAGTCTTATTTTTATAAATGTGGTTCGTTTATCATACTTGCTACAGGAGTACTTTTTAAAGGCAAATAAAAATAACATAAATATAAAAATTAACCACCGTAAAAGCACATATATATATATATAAAATTAATAATATT